ACTTATACCTAAACTTTTTTTTGGGTGCAAATGAGTTGGCTGAATTGGTTGCATTTTTACAGTGCCCTTCATGCATTGGAGCACTACTGATTGACTCCCGACTTTGTGGGATTTTCGCCCACAAAATATGATAATAATCATGTTGCACTTGATATAGCACCTTATCATGTCTTTGCGTCATCTCAAAGGGCTTCAGAGAATATACTGTAAAGTGACTTGACCGTATATTTTGTATATTTTGTGGGCGAAATGTGGCAACAAACAGTCATGGATTGAGTGACCAAATTATTATTCTTATTTTTTTAAGGAATTTGAACATTTTTACAGTCATTTCATTTTACAATATATTCTGTGAAGCGCTTTGAGATGTCTCAAGAATGCGATAAGGTTCTATATCAAATGCACGGATTATTATTAATGATTACTATTATTCAGTCCACATTACCCAATAACTTCACTGATATTCACTGACTTTGACACCGGGCTGAGGTTTCTGCAGGAAATAACATCAGATAATCTGTCTTTCTAATGAATAATCTCTGTATAAGTGCTCTGAGATGCCATCCGGCATGAAGGGCGCTACATAAATGTTGTTCTTGTTGTTGCATAACTTCCATTTGATTGTATGGTTCAATTTTTTGTTTCAACAATGCATATATCTCCAATGTCAACGTCCAGGAGATAAAATGAAACACTGAGAATCCTGGAAATGTATTGCAGGTCAATCAGGTTCTGAGGGAGATAGAAGTTAATAGGATGAAACAACTTAACTATAATGAAAGGCTGAGTAAAATTCAACTATACTCCTTAGCAATAAGGAGATTAAAGGGTAATCTAATTGGGGTTTTTAAAATATTGGAAGCAGTTGATAAGCTAGATAGTGGAAGACACTTTCCTTTGGCAAAGGGGCCCAAAACAATTGATGTCATCTGAAACTTATGCTTAAGATGCTTAGAACAACAACAATTTACACTTGCGTAGCACCCCAGTTTAGTTGATGTTCACTTGGAGAATGCTGAAGCTTTCCAGGACTTGATGGCACTCCGATCATTAGTCAGTAGTTGTCCTTGGAAATGAGGGTGAGTGCAGAAAGGTAGCTGTCTATGTACATATGGAAGTAGACTGCCTGCCCATGATAATAATAATCCTTGCAAATGATATAGCGCCTTATCACGTTGTTGAGAGATCTCACAGTGCTTAACAGAATATACTGCAAATTTAATTGACTGTATATTTTGTAGGTAAAATGCGGCAACCAATTGCACACAGCAGTAATCCCACAAACAGTCGTGGATTGAGTGACCAAATTATTATTTTTTTTTTGAAGGGACTATTACCCCCGGAAAAGTGTTCCACCAATTCACTAACAACCAGATTCCTACTTACTGCTCGGCAAACAGAGGCATGTGAAGTACGGAAATTTGCCTAAGGTTCCTTCCTGCCTGGGAATCGAACCCAGATCCTTTCACTTGCAAGGCAAGTGCTCTAACTAATAGACTACAGGACTCCAATGTCAACAATTGGACCATTGAGATGGGGAAAAGGAGAGTTCCAAGGATAGAGTGCTGAGAAATACCAAACATGACCATTTGGGGGAAGGAGGAGAACCCGTTCGAGGAGACATGTTGATGGCCCTGAGACCGACAAGGGTGAAAACAGGAAAGTCCAGAGCCATGAAGATGGACCAAAACAGAGGGATCGCTAAGAAGAGTGGAGTGGTCAACAGTGCAAACAGTGGTGGAAAGATCGAGGAGCACCAAGAGAGATAGAGAGCCCTGGTCACAGACAGAGAAGACATCATTTCTCAAACTAGAACTTAGCCAGTTAGAATGAAATCAGAAAACAATTCTTCCCACAGAGGGATGTGAAACACTGCACTGTACTGTTCCTTATACGAACGCACTTAGAACTTTTCACCACATCACAGCCCCTGATGTGGACAAGCCAGTAGTTGACTTGCAGTGCCTTATGGTATTCTACTGGACTGTGTCCAAATCTGGGATCTATAGAACGGTAGTTGGATGTGCTGTGCTGTGAGAAAAGTACGACAAAGGGTGTCTAAATCAATCCATGGGATTGTACGCCCAGAGTGAGTAGATATTGCAGAATATGGGAAGGTTTACAAAGGAGAAGAGACAATTGAAGCGTGATCTTATGGATGTTTAGGCTCGGTTGGTAGGACTCTTTCCTCTGATTCAGAAGGTTGTGGGTTCAAGCCTCCATGTTGGGGGTTTGAGCTTAATGTCCAGCCTACCACTCCAGTGCAGTGCTGGGGGGACTTCTTGGCTGCTGCGATCTCTAACAAATTCAACAGTTGTACCCTTTACAGTAAATCCCGTGAAGCGTGTCAAGACATTTCAGTGCTATATCAAATGCAAGGAACATTATTATGTATTAATTTTTATGGAAACAGAGAAGACGTCATTTCTCAAACTAGAACTTAGCCAGTTAGAATGAAATCAGAAAACAATTCTTCCCACAGAGGGAAGTGAAACACTGCACTGTACTGTTCCTTATACGAACGCACTTAGAACTTTTCACCACATCACAGCCCCTATCTTTCTGCCCGTTTATGGAAACGGGCAGAAAGATAGGAACTGGAGAAGCTCATGCAGTCAGTGATCAAGTCTGCCCTATCGGATTAATAAATCGAGGCAGATTGTTTAATGTTATTTCCATCCTTTTCGCCAAACCCTCATTCCCACGTGTCCATCTATCTCCCTTAATCCTGTAAGCCAAAGACCTGATGGTGGAGTCCTGTAGCTCAGTGGTTAGAGCACTCGCTTTGCAAGTGAGAGACCTGAGTGCAATTCCAGGCAGAGGGCGAAACCTTGGGCAAGTTTCCTTACTCCACACAGAGCCTAATAATAATCCCTCCAAAACCAAAAACAATAATAAATTGGTCATTTTCAATCCACGACTGTTTGTGGGACATTGCTGTGCGCAATTGGCTGCTGCGTTCGCCCACAAATATACAGTCAATTCACTTTACAGTGTGTTCTGTGAAGCGCTTTGGGACGTCCTCCCGACGTGAAAAGCGCTATATCAAATGCGAGGATTATTATTATTATTATTATTATTAATTACATCGTTTTACCCTTTCAGGTCTGTAGGACATTCCAAAGGGCTGATAAACAGTGGAAAAGTCTGTGCTCTCGATGGCAAACTGTGTGGTGTGGTTTTAGTTGGACAGTCTCCAGCAGGACATTTGCAAGAGAGGAATAGACATTACAATGGATTGAGGAATAAATAGGTCACAGTTAACTTTGTGGTGGTCACACACACACACACACACACACACACTACGATACCATCGAACCCATAAAGAAAACACCAGGTTGACCCCACGATGCGAAAATCGGATCAATTCCACTATTTTGCGCAGGTTCGTAAATCTCATTGATAAACTCTTCTCGTGTGTAAATGTTCCCCATTAAAAGGATTTCAGACGCGATTTAAAATGTATTTTGTAAAGTATTGGAAGGGTGTGGGGGTGTGTGGGGGGTGTGGGGGAGTGTGTGGGGGTGTAAGGGGGTTATGCGGGGTGTAGGGGGGGTGTGTGTGGGGGGGGTGTGGTGTGGGGGGTGTGGGGGGAGTGTGTGGGGGTGTGTGGTGTGGGGGTGTGGGGGGGTGTGGGGGTGTGGGTGTGTGGTGTGGGGGTGTGGGGGTGTGGGGGGGTGTGGGGGTGTGTGGTGTGGGGGGGTGTGGTGTGGGGGGGTGTGTGGGGGTGTGGGGGGGTGTGTGGGGGTGTGGGGGGGTGTGGGGGTGTGGGGGGGTGTGTGGGGGGGTGTGGGGGGTGGGGGGGTGTGTGGGGGGGTGTGGGGGGGTGTGGGGGGGGGTGTGGGGGGGAATAAACTGTTAAAATCAGCCGCACACAGTCAGTCCTATCACTGAAACTGGTGCCATTCGCAATGTCGCATTATAGACCCAAATCAAATGACAACATTCGGTATAAACCATCGGTGTCCTTCATTCACAGCCAAATGCAGGTTCTGTCTTCTCGTTCAAAGTATTAGTTTAAAAACGGCTCATTCTCCCCCAAAAAACTACGATTGCTTTATTTTTTAGTCCGGATTTACGAATGCAGAGTATCACAGCGCACAGTAACTAACATGCGCTCTCTGTCTGTTTTGCAATGTGCTAAATAAATTAGTGGGGCAAAACCTCGCAAACTACAGAGGTGGGAACCCCCCCACCCAACCCCCCCCCCCCCCCCCACATCCCAGTTATGAATTTTTGTAAATCGTCCCAAATTTTCCTTCTTTATAATAAAAAAGATATCAAAAATAATCAGTTTGGATGGATGATGCACCAGTGACTCATCCAACCAAACACATCCCTCTCCCCCCCCCCACCCCCTCTCTCCCCCCCCCCCCCCCACTCCCCCACCCCCTCTCCTCCCTCCCTTTAAAGAGGTGAGGAATCTGGGACTGGGTTGCAGTCAGTCGGTCTGAAATTGTGAGTGGTGAGAGGTGGAGAGGTAGAAAGAAAAAGAGAAAGAGAGAGAGAGAGAGAGAGCAGGAGGGATGGTGGGTGGGAAGGGAAGGAAAAAAAAGGGAGATCAGATATAATATAATATAATATAATATAATATAATATAATATAATATAATATAATATAATATAATATAATATACCAGGCGCCAGTCACCCAATACCCCATCCGCAAGGCTCCTTGGCAACGCGTAAAGGCTCGGGACATCATGCAAACCACTTGAAGAGAGGCGCTTTGTTTGGAAGGAAAGAAGAAGGAGCAGGAGGGGGTGGGAGGGGGGGAAGAAGGAAGGAAGGAAGGAAGGAAGGAAAGAGAAAGAAAGAAAGAAAGAAAGAAAGAAAGAAAGAAAGAAAGAAAGAAAGAAAGAAAGAAAGAAAGAAAGAAAGAAAGAAAGAAAGAAAGAAAGAAAGGAGGAGAGAAGCAAGGAGAGAAGGGAAGATTAAGAGGAAAACGAAGAAAAAAAAAGGGGGAATAAACTTCCGTTCCCCCCCCAACCCACCACCACTATGTCGGACCTGACCTGTTGTGCTCACGACGATATCTTTTTCTTCCGCTTTAACAACAAGACCAACCAAACGGTGGCCGATTTCCTCAACTTCTTGCTGTCGGCCGACACCGAGATCCAAAGCGATGGCACCAAAGTCATCAGGATCCTCAGCTCCATCGTGTACTGGCTGGTGTGTGTCCTGGGGCTGGTGGGCAACCTCCTGGCCCTGTATCTGCTCAGGTCCAAGTATGCCCAGAAGAAGTCCACCACCACCATCATGGTCATGGGCTTGGCTGTCACGGATCTCCAGTTCGTCTTGACTCTACCCTTCTGGGCTGTGGACACAGCCATGGACTTCAGCTGGCCTTTTGGCAAAGTCATGTGTAAGGTTGTCACCTCGGTGACCCTCATGAACATGTACGCCAGTGTCTTCTTCCTGACAGTCATGAGCATCACTAGATATTGCTCGGTTGTCTCTTCCCTCAAGATGAAGAAGCGATCTGCTGGATGCTCTGATAAGCTCCTGTGTCTATACATCTGGGTGGTGGCTTGTGTAGCCACCATTCCCCACGCCATCTTTTCCACCACCGTCGCCATTTCAGACGAGGAGCTGTGCCTGGTCAGGTTCTCGGACCTCCACAGCGACCATCAGCTCTGGCTGGGGCTCTACCAGACCCTCAAGGTCCTACTGGGCTTTGTCATCCCCTTGGTCATCATCTCGGTCTGCTACCTCCTCCTGCTGCGCTTCGTCAACAGCAAGAAAATGAGCAGCAACAACCCCAGAAAGAAGTCCAAGGTCACCAAATCGGTGGCCATTGTGGTCCTGTCCTTCTTCATCTGCTGGCTACCCAACCAGGCCATCACGACGTGGAGTATCATCATTAAGTTCAACTTGGTGCCCTTCACAGAAGCTTTCTACATCACCCAAGCTTACGTCTTCCCCATCACTGTCTGCCTGGCCCACAGCAACAGCTGCCTCAACCCCATCCTCTACTGCCTCATGAGAAGGGAATTCAGAACAGGACTCAAGGAATTGCTGGTGAAATTCTCTCCACTCAGAAGGATGCGTCCCTTGTTGGCCAACATGGCACCCAGTAAGAAAAAAGGACAGGTTCCAGTCATCATATCCATGTCCAAGTAAACCAGCCCCTGCCCTCTCCATCCAGCACGTCAACTGAGCACCTCGTTTATTGTGGGTGGGTGGAAATTCGGTGAATAATGCTCCTATTTTAACACCGTTTTCAGTCCTACCAGAATAACTTGTTAGCTTTGCATTCGGATCTAGCTTTAGGTGAGACTGCGACTTGTGTGGGGTCTGTAGCCATGTTGTGTGTTCGCGACTGTCTTGTCTATGTGTCTGTGTTCTCCTCCAGTTGTCAGTTCCCCCTTCTGTCTATTCACTGACGAGACAGGTTTGTGTTAGTTGGTTGCTGCACTGAGAGATCAGCTCTGTCAGGCGAAGGGCTATTACAATGTGTGAAGAAGATCTCGCTGCAGAGACTTGTGCACGTAACGTACAGGAAAGGACACGAGCGCCAACTCTTTAACTTGTGTGTACACTTGTGAGCATGTTTTGGGCAGAAATCTTAAACGTATCTTAATGGTAGACTAGTCTGGTAGCAACATTGGATGCTTTTTGTTTGTAGGATTCTGGTTTTCTTTTGCAACTCCAATTTTGTTCATTTTTTTAATATACAGTGAAATGAGGGTCTGAGAGACAACCTATATGCCTCTGCATAGCTGGGGGTGGTGGTGGTGGTGGGGGGGGGTGCGGGGGGGTGGTTGGGTTGGGGAGCTGGATATCAGGGATATCAATTATTAAATTGTTGGAGCTTGGCGGGGAAGGGGTTAAGCTTATTTTGCACAGCCCTTGTTGCCCGACCCTAATCAGATCAAAGACGCTGTATGTATTATTGATAATAATAATAATAATATTTAAATTTAAATATTTAAACTTCTATTTTTTTTCTTTAACTCGTAGATTTTTTTTCTTCCTATTCTAAACTTTTCTCCTCCAACTGTAAATGTTGTTTTATAACAACATCCTCGCACTCCTGTTCAAATCCCTTCGTACTCTGGCACCTCCCTCCCTCTCCGACCACCTCACTCTCCAATCCACCACCCGCCCCTCCGTTCGACAGGCAACAGGCTCCTGCTCGTCCCTCGCACCCTCCGCCCCACCATCGGAGGTCGCGATTTGAGCCACTACCCCCCGAAACTCTGGAACACTCTCCCTCAATCCCTCTGCCTTGTCCCCTCTCTCCCCTTTTTCAAGTCCCGCCTGAATTCGTTCCTCTTCGACTGCGCTTATGGCCACCTACTCCCTCCCCTCGGCTCGGAGTCAAGCTCTGCCGCTGTTAAGTGCTCTGAGATGCTACGCTACGTGGATGTTGATGTTGAAATACGTTGAGATAAAGGTTGTTTTTTCAGTGATTCAATTGTTAACCATTGAAGCCACTGAACCTTTTCTGAAATAACTGCAATTAATTTAACATTTGAAGTTATCCCCGTCTAATTACTGATGAGTTATTATGTTAGAAACATAATGGTGTTGACAATGGACACACAACCAAAATTTTGTTCCATGTTTTTTCAATTAAATGTTGTTTTGCTACATGTTTTCAATTTCTTATCTTTAGTTTCATTTCAAAGTTATTAAATCTTTCCTGAAGATTAGTTGTCTTCTGTGGAATGAGACTGTCTTTCTGTGCCCATTGTGTAGTTCTGTGAGATCTTATGAGATTGCTAAATTCAGAGGCTGATCAGGTCACTGACAGAAAACTGACAGAACTATAAAGTCAATGTGCTTACATAAAAATAGCCTAACAAATAACAGCCTAAATAACCGCAGAACAGGTAGACCTTACCTGCCTCATACCTATCTTTTGTGGGAAAGTGATATCCCAAATTGACAGCGGAAAGCCATAAGATCAACAAGTCACTGTGACTTAAGGTATATTCTGTGAAATGCTTTGAGACGTCTCAACGACGTGATAAGGAGCTACGTCAAATGCAAGGATTATTATTATTAGAGGGATGAGCTATGAGAGAATCTTAGGTAATCAAGTGTTTTTCGTTATCGTAAACGAGGAAGCCTAGAAGTATTTGAAGAGCTTAACATGCAGAAAACATCACATATATACATCAAAGGCAACAGGATAGGAGGTCGGCATTTAGGACAGATACCAGGAAATATTACTTTGCAAAGAGTATTCAACAGCTGGAACAGATCACTAGACACTGTAGTTGATGCAGCTTGAATCTCTAATTGGAACATGGTATTATGGAAGGATAAGATCAAACAGACATTTTTAAAATCCTAACCTTTCTTGTGATTTATAGCAATTCAAAGATGATATAGCAGTGGCCATAATGAACAGTTACAATGTGCCTTTAGTGGGTAGAAAAGTATGAAAAGTATCTTTGAGTGTTACATCCATTGGCACATTTCCCTCCACATTCAGATACAAACACAATTCCTCCCACCGTTGACCGTTTGTACAGCCAAATTGCCCAATTGAGGTGCAAACTGAAGGCAGTGTGACCAGCGGAGTAACTCTGGGAATGAATGAGTTTGGGTATCAAACTCATTTGCAGTGGGATGACTAACCATCAGAGACAGGTTTGCAGGGAAGTGGAAGGACAGTTACTCCGATCGCACTCCACTTTGTCTCCGGAGCAAAAAAAAAATCTCATCTGCTCCAGGCGAGGATGGAAACATCTGGTACCTAGCCCAGCAAGCGAACTGATGTGATGTGTCCCACTCAGCAGATACAGGACTTCCTGAGACCCCTGGGAAGCCAGCTATTTAGCCACAAATCTATCGTGATGTCTCAACCGCTGTCTTGTAACAACTTACTGCTTTGCTCCCCACTATTATACTCTGAACTCAGAGCACACTATTTAACAGCAGAAAACATCTGTGGTTTCAGCTGAGCAAAAAACTGAACCTCGTCCAGATCGACGAATTCCTTTCTGACTTTTGCAAGACACAACGTCCAGTTAAGAACTTACGCCATTTACAACTAAGATATGCTTTTATCCTCCCAACGTGAAAGGCGCTACACAAACGTAATCTTGTGGCTGTTGATAACAGTCTCTTTGTCTGTCTGCGTGAACGGATTGCTCAAGTCATAATTTTTTTGTCTCTGGTAATAATAATAATAATAATAATCCTTGCATTTGATATAGCGCTTTTCACGTCGGGAGGACGTCCCAAAGTGCTTCACAGAACACACTGTAAAGTGAATTGACTGTATATTTGTGGGCGAACGCGGCAGCCAATTGCGCACAGCAATGTCCCACAAACAGTCGTAGATTGAAAATGACCAATTTATTATTGTTTTTGGTTTTGGAGGGACTATTATTAGGCTCTGTGTGGAGTAAGGAAACTTGCCCAAGGTTTCGCCCTCTGCCTGGAATTGAACTCAGGTCTCTCGCTTGCAAAGCGAGTGCTCTAACCACTGAGCTACAGGACTCCACGTCCTGTCTGTGCTCTGTCGTGCAGCCAGTTAAACCACAATAACGTGTCTTGTCTGAGTTTATTTTCCAGCACTAATTCAGCCAGGAACAATTCATGTTACAAACCAGTGTAATGATGCACAGTGCAACTACTGACCTGCATGCTATTGGAAGCCATTATATTGCCCAACATTTATACGTTGGGTTTCATAAGCATGACTGACTCCAAGGAGCTAGCAATAATCCTATAATACCAAATAATCCTATAATATTACATTTTTTCAAAGCTCATTAAATTAATTTTAGATGCACAGAGTAATTTTGCTGCTCCCACTGTGACTATTTCATTCAAACTTTGACAAAACAATATTGGGCCACACCTTGCCATGCATAGCTGGGGTCTGTGTCCACTGAGGAGACCAGTCCAGAAGGAATAATAATAATAATCCTTGCATTTGATATTAGCGTCTCATCACATTGTCGACATGTGTCAAAGCGCTTCACAGAATGTACTGTAAAGTGAATTGAGTGTATATTTTGGGGGCGAAACGCTGCAGCCAATTGCGCACATCACTGTGCCCCAAAAAGTCGTGTATTAAGTGACCGAATTATTATTACTTTTTATTTACTTATTGTGGAAGGGATTATCACCCCTAGAAAAGTGATTTGCCAATCGACCAACAACCGAGTTCCGACTTATTGCTGGGTAAACAAAGGTGTGTGGAGTAAGAATCGAACCCGGGTCCTCTCACATTTGAGGCGAGCGCACTAACCACTACGGAGCTTCCTTTGCCAGCTATCACAGGTAAATACCAACTCTGACTGAACGTACCTTCATTATCTGTTGATCCAACAGGTCCGGAGGAGAATATGTGTTGGGGTTGGTATCGCTGCCTCCAGCTCACTGGAGTTAATCAAACTCCTTGCTGAGGGGTGGTACCAGCTTCCTAAAACTTCCTTGGAGACCAACACATATCGATGTACTAGTTTCATTGCCATCTGGACAAATCTGCACTGCTCTAGATGCTGTTGATGCCAGGAGCCCACTCACTCACTCAAAATAGAGAGCAAATTGGTGCAGTGATGATAGCCTCCAGGTCAAACTGGTACAATGTTGGTCTCTTCTCTCACTCTTGACAATACATACTAATGAAAATAATAATCTTTGCATTTTACATGTCAGGACTTCTCAAAGAACTTCGGGAGTTTTTTTTTTGTAAAGCGCAGTGAATTTGGGGTATTTGTAGATGAACGCACCAGAATGTTCCCGTCTGCCTGAACCGGGAACATGACTTAACATCTCATCTGAAGGATACCACTTCCAACAATTCAGCGTTCTCCACCACTGCACTGGAGTGTCAGCCTGAACTATGAGTTCAAAGTCACAACATGTAGCTTGTTGGACCCACACACTTCTGACGTAGAGGCAACAGCACTACCAACTGACAATACTGTATATGGATGTAATGAGTTTGAGGGGTCCATGGTTGTTAGCAGAATACCAGTGCATAGCACAGACCTATGATTTATTACTAAGTACAACTAAATTGGTAATTCTCGAGAGGTGTTGGAGTCAATAGTGTTGGAAATAGTAAATGTCGCAATTGTAAATGGAGGCGTCCTGCACATTTGTGCAGTCACTTTATGCAATTCCCCATAAAGCGCTTTGAGATGTTCAGC